GCCAATTATATACTTAAATAAACATTCACATCATGTATGAATCTTCATAGGAAATATTATTATCTGCAGGGAGATAAAATTATATAGAAGAGCTAGAATTCAGATATGTCTAAAGCTGTCACCTTGAAATTCACACATTCATCATCTAAAGCTGTCACCTTGAAATTCACACATTCATCAGCGACTGTCTTTGCACTACCCTCCCCCCAGCTCTGCAACACACAGATCTGAACCCTGAAGTTCATTTATGAAGAGCTTTTGCTATGTTATTTTTGTCCCTTAGTGCCTACACAAAGTTTTATCTTCATTTTTTCAATATTTCAAGTGGTTTTTTTCTTTAATTCTGAACCCTTTATCCACAAATCCATGGAATAAGCATTCATTAATGCTTATTTTGCTTTACAGCACAAATAGCAAGTGACAATATTTAAATACCATGCTGGGTAATCAGACAATGACTCAGACAACCTGAATATCAAGCCTAAGCATTTCCCCAGCCACAGAGGAGGTCAATGTCAAACATTCATGTAAGTCATGCTACAAACCTTTTTACCTCACTAGTAATGTTAATAGAAATCCAAATTCTTGGGCCCTGCTCCAGAGCTAAGGAATTAGAAAGTGGGATAAGGGCCTGGTGATATGCATTTAAATAAACCTTTGCAGGGACTCAGGTAGAAGCCAACATTTGAGAACCACTATACGATGTTATTCTACCTGGAAACTCTGTGCTAAACAGCCCTCCACAGTTGTAGTCAGGGTTTACAAGGGCAACAGTTTTATACAGGACATGTAATTTATATTATTTTATAATAGTCACCCAAAAAGTCATATACAAAGAGAGTGCAGGAAATCTGTCCACACACTAAAGACCAAAGAATCCAGCTCAGGGCCTGGATCCCACAGGAATGTCCTGCATAAGTCCAGTTTAAGATCTAGAGCTCATTACAATGCCTCATGCAAGCCTGTTTCATGGATTTGCACTGGAAAGTCCCAAAAGTTAGTGGTAGAAGCTAGAAAGTCTGTGCCAGCAGGAAGGAGGATCTGTGCTAGCAGGCTGAGGGATCTGCACTGGAGCCAGAATGCAACACTCAAAGTAAGAACAAGAGCTCCCCCCAAAAGTACCACAGCCATCCTCAGTGACAACCAGGTTTCCCCACCCTACCCCAAGCTCCTCCAAAATGGGAACAGCCAAGTTCATGCCAGGAAAGCCAGGGCAACAAGCCTTCCCAGATTAAACAAGTACACCATCTTCTCCTCCAGAGCCAGGAAGCGATGATCAAAGCAAGGACCAGAGCTCCCCTAGAGAACCACAGCCGTTCCTCAGTAATAACAAGGTCCTGAGATCCTATGATGAGGAGAACAGCCAAGTTCATATCAGGAAATCCAGCATGACAAGCCCCTCCAGGAGAACCAACAGCTCCCAGGAGAATCAACAGCCCCCTAAGAGCACCTCTTCTTTTTCTCTAGTTCTGTTTATTTTGTTGACAACAATCCTCAGGTGGGCCCCCCACACCCAGCACCGCACTGATTCAGTTCAACTGGGTGTTACAAGTTGACCCTCAGTTGTCAATCCACCGCAACAGTCATTCCATAAAACAAAATGGAAAAGGTTAACAAGCAAATGGGTAAGTGCCTGGATACTAAGAGTTTTGGCACCTGAGATGACATTCAAAATTCGTAATACTCTACAGAGCATATAAAAAACCAATCAGAATGATACCACCAATAAGAATGGGCATTGGGCATGTACATACTGTCTGAAAAATCAGGCTTTCTTAAATCCAGGGCAGTTGTGATCTTTTCTCATGATCGTTGGCATATATTCTACAAATAGTCCCGAATTTCCTAGGTCCTATTGACAGCCTCATCCAATCATAGGGATTTGACTGCTAACACAGTACAGATAATCTTACAATATCAAATCTTTCTTCATGGGGATTAGGGAGTTACCTAAATACCCTGAACACTAGGTTTTCCATAAAGAATTTCATATACTTAATTTAAAATAGCTTTAATTTATGAGATGTATTTATAATGAAAATTTATAAAATCTTATCCTACCTTTATTCTAACCATGTGAATTTGCTAAGAATGAAAAACCTTATACTGTAAACTTAAAGCAGTCCAAGGCCCACTGCTTTTGCCAATGAGTAAACAATTGAGAGTTCCTTGGGGATATTGTTTGTGTACATTGATAAATGTCTTGCCTAACTCCAAATTTATTCACAAAGCATAGGGATATACAATAACACTTTATCTAAATTTACTCTACATACTTTTTCTTTTATCCTATAACGAAATGCATACTTGGGCCATTTGAAGATACATGGGATAATTTGTAAGTTCTGAAATATTCAATTGACAGTACAACAATATTAAATATCAAAAATATCAAAAGAAATACCACAAGTGCATCCACTGAGAATCCTTGAGGATCCCAGTTAATAATGTGGCATATGACCCTTTGTACCCATCCCAGTAGCCTCTTCACCCCCAAGAACCACATCTCAACATTAAAATGGGGCCCCGCGGAGTGCAAATTTTTCTAAAAATTAAGATGCTTTGGTGTATCATTATTTGACTTTTAGTGTATCATCATACTCTTTTAATTAAACTGCTGTTCTGAGATGATCATAACTTAACATGTATTTGTTTTGTTTTGGGTTTTTGGCAGTACTGGGGCTTTCCACATTCAGGATTTGCATATGGTAGGCAAGAGCTCTGACACTGAGCTACACCTCAAACTTTTCATTTTCCTCTTGAGACAGTCTCAGTGCATTGCCCAGGATAGCCTTGAATTTGTGATCTCCCTGCCTTACCCTCCTGAGCAGCTGAGATTATAGGCATGCAGCACTGAGCCCAGTCATTCATACATCTACGTGAGAAATAATAAAGATGGATTGTATACACCCTTGACTATGTTCCCCCAATAAAAATATGGTGCAACACTATAGAACAATACCACAACCAGGAGACTGACATTGATATAGCTCAGATACAGAGCAGTTCCATTACAACAGATTCCTCATGACGGCCATTCACAGCCACATTCTCTCTTGCCAAGACCTGGCAGCAACCAACCTGTAGCTACTTACATAGCTTTCCAGATTAAAATAAATTGGAAATTTTCCCATAGCTTCCCAGTGCAAAAAAAAAAAAAAATGTATAAGTGGAATCATGCACTATGCAATATGGAATTAGCCTTATTTATTTACTCAGCATAATTTCCATGAGATTTACCCAAATTGTTTCAAATATCAATAGTTGTTCTCTTTTCCTATTAAGTAGTGTTTCGTGCATGTACCAGTTTTAACAACATACCCAAGGTCGAATGTCTAGGTTATTTCAACTTTGTTTATTCTTACAGATCAAGCTGGTATAGCCATTGTGTAGAATTTCTTCTATGAAAAAAAATGTTCATAGAAATTTGGGAAAAATGTCCAGGTGTGCAATAATAATATGGCACTTGCATGCTTAGTTTTACAAGACACACACATACAATTTTCAAATATGATTGTGCCACTTTCCATTCCCACCAGCAGTATTTAAGTGATTGAGTTTCTCTGAATTTTCATTGGCATTTCTTGTTTTTTTTTTTTTTTAATTTTTTAGTCGTTCTGATGGGTACTCAATGAAAGATATCTCACAAGTACCTCAATTTGCATTTATTTAGTGGCTAATAATGTTATCAAAATTTTTTCTTATGCTTCTTCTAAAAGTATGTAACTTTATACTTTACAGGTAAGCCCCTAATTGCTCTTAATTTTCATATATTGTACAAAGTTAGAGTTTATTCCTTTGAATGTTCAACTGCCCTATCAGCATTTGTTGTAAAATCTGTCCTTCTGCTACTGAATTGCTTTTGTACCGTTATGTAAAAAAAAAAATCAATTGAGCATATTTGTGTGGATTTATCTATTCTGATCAACTGAACTATATCTAGCTCTCTGCCAATAACACATTGCCTTGATTACTATAATTATATTGTAGGCCTTAATATCAATATCAATCAGGTGGAGTGACTTCTCTGATTTTTCTTTTCAAGATACAAATTTCCTTTTAAAGAGTAACTATTAGACTTTTTGCCATTTCTATTTCTTCATGTGAGTATTCATCTCAAAAATAAAAGAAGAGTAATTTTTAGTATTCCATTCTTTCCTTCTCATATAAGCTTATCTGTGTATACCAAAAGCTTTGCTGGGATTTTGATCCTATAAGATTTTTCAACCACACTTGTAAAAATAAACACAGAATCTTCCCAGAATACACAAAGGTGGAACATATTTTGAATGGAAATTCATTAATATTCTATGCAATATGGGTGCCCACTATCTTTTAATTGCATGCATAGATACAATGTTGCTTGCCTAAACCTCTAGAGCTGTGATTTTTGCAGGGGTTAGCAAACTTTGGGTTATGCAGCCTCTTTTTAATAGGCTCTGTGAGCTAAGAAGAGGTTTTATATTCTTTTAAAGCTATAAAAATCAAAGAAGAATATATGACACAAGCTACGTAGGCCACTAAGCCTAAATTGTATTTGTCCTTTACAGAAATATCCTTCTTATCCCTGTCCCATAGAATCACATATTTGCATGATAGAAAATAACTGGAAGCACATTGTTACAAGTTAAGAAAATAAAAATGTCTCTCAACCATAACTGTATTTGCCAATGTATAGAACTATCTCCAGCCAAGTTAAAAATCACTAAGAAACTAAATCTCTAAGCTTCTGAATATTGTCCCTTAAAATTATGTTAAGCCAATTTAAATTTGCAATTTAATATGATTTTGTAAATTGAAAAACATAATATTATTCAAGTGTGAAGTATTATTTTCACTCACATTTTGTAGTGTTTTGTTTTTCTTTCTTGTTAGTTGTGCTAGGGATTTTATTCAAGGCCTTGAACTTCTTAACTGTCACATTATTGAGCTACAACTTCTGCCCTGCCATTCACAACGGTAAGGAAGATTATTTTATAGAGGAGGAATAGAATACTTACCAAAACATGGATTTCTGAAGCATTGTATGAGTCCCTAGAGTTTTGCTGCTGTGTTCTTAGCCAAGCATCCTAACCTCTCTGAGTTCCAGTTTCCTCATTTCTAAAACGGTAATAAAGACAATATATTGTGGTGTCACAGAACTGTTTAAATGTGCTAATACATATAGAGTATTACAGTAGTTAGAGCAGTTTTCTATATAGAAAGTGCTTCCCAGTAAAATGTTATTATTCATATTTCATATTATTCATTATTAACATAGTTCAAAAATCAAAGTTTTCATTGCACAGAAATAGTAAGGAGCTGACTCTTTTCAAAGTAGTTTTTATTTAAATTTTTTAAATTAAAGGCTGTCACATCATTATCTAGTCAACATATATAGGTTAATAAACTAGTGCCATGTGATGCAGTGTAAAAGGAAGCTAAAAATAGAGGTCTTTAAAGTTAGGACCATAAAAAGACTGAAAATAACACTTTAGAAAAATGTAATCATCAACATATATGAATATGCCTATCCACATAATAGATTTCTATTACATGTGAATCAGAAATCATGAAAATACAAGCATAAAACTCAAAGTGAATTGCTCCATGAATATGGAAATATCAAAAGTTTAGGCTTCTCTTTGCAACACGAAGCAGTACCCTAAAGTCTATGCTACAGAGAAAAATCATAAACCTTTCTAATTCTGGCACAGTGTCAGTGTGTAAAACTTTTATATAATAATAATGAAATGTGTATGAAAAAGAATGCCTTATTTGTCATCAAGTTATTTGAATTACATCCACATAAGTAGTGTATGAATATCAGACGTAGTTGCACTGAACTGATAGACCAGAGTAGGAAGAAAGCAAACTAGTTTTTCCGATGCAGGTTCGATCCTCAAGGGTTACCTCGCTGCAGAATAAGTGCAGTCAAACACAGGAATCAGTTCTTTTTTCTGTACTCTTATTTCGTAGTATAGTTGGCTGTTTTTAAACTCAGATCTGATAATAATTTTAAGGTTTGAGTCATGTATTAGTCTATTTTTCGTGACTATCATGAAATATGAGAAGCAGGCTAGCTTTGTAAAGACAGACTCTCTCACAGCTCTGGAGGTCAGAGCAAGGGGCACGGCCTTCCACTCCGAGAGTCCTGGGTCCATGCCGTGCATTGAAGGGGTAGGAGTCTACAGACCAAAAAAAAAAAAAAAAAAAAAAAGACATAGGATAAGGGCCTCATTAGGTCTTCTAGCTAATTCTGACTAGAAGGTGTTAAAAACAAACTTTACTAGAGAGATTGCCCTGGGAAACAAGTCAAAGACACTGGCTAAAAAAAAAAAAAAAAGTGAAAGAAAGAAAACACAGATTTTAAAAGATTTTAAAAAGTCAGATTTTAAAAAGTCACCAGATAAAGAGACAAGAAAAAGAGCTGACAGACAGGACACAGAGAGAAAGCCAAGAGCACAACTGATAACCCACCCCCACTTCCAATACAATATAAGCAAAAAGAAAGGGGGCCTGACTAACTTTAAGGCGGTATACTTGCACTTACACACTACATATATGCACTCATGTATTTACTCTAAAGTCACGATATTATTCACCCTAGGATCTTTGTAGAGTGAAATAGATATCTTCACGCTCTCTTACTAACTCTAAGCTAACCATAAATAAGACACACCGTTGCCAACCAGCCCCGCTCCAAAAATAAGGGCTTAAAGAGTAGGTAAAGGGCAAGTAAACAAACAGACCCAAAAAAGCTGCATGTAGACCACTGGAAAAAATAATGTTAGCTAGAGGTCCCAGAAGCCAATCCAGTTATGACAAGTTCGGGTGGGGGTTGGGCGGGTCCTCGCTCACCCCTAGGAAAACGGCTGGGAGCAAAGGACCCATGGAATCTCCATCTTTCCAGATCCCTCTACCCTGATTCTTTCTTATTAAGGAAATGCCTGTCCCCTTCCTTCCTTCTCCTCTTTACAGATAAAGTGTCTTCCTTTCATTAAACTTCATCCGTCTAATTTGTCACTGGGACTGAGTTTAGGATCCCGGTGAGGTGCGTGGACAGCAGAGCCGCAGTGCTCATCCCCCCAGTCAAAGTCTTTGGCTCCCTGGCGAGGAGCCACATGAGACAGCATCGCATCACAGAGAGACGGAGAGCAGGTGGATCTGTCCCTGCTGGTCACTCTCCCTTGAAAAACAGTGAAGATTCAATCAGAGGGCCTCTAGCTTGATGACTGTCGCTAATCCTAACAGCCTTCTGAAGGCTTGATCTGTAAATCCAATGTTTACATTTAGTTTTGCCTCTCAGGCGAAACCTCAGGATTAAATTTCAACGCATAAAATCTTGGGAGACACACTCAAACTATAACCAAGCATTAGGAGGCCATTATTTTTAAAAGATAGATTTTTATGTCTGTTTTATGTAAGAAACAGAAAGCTTCTTTTATTCTCTCTTTAACATGGGCCTATTATCCAATAGTCTATCATGCCCAACTCCTTTGTGCAAAACAGTTAAAAACCTGTAGAGAAAAGAAATCTTCTAATACTAAACTGCAAGACAGATAAACATATACTTGCAAGAGAACAATTGTGAGCGAGTTTCTCTAAGGTTTCTTATATTAAGCTGCTTGTAAATCAGTGGATGAGGAGAAGCACCGGGTCATGACTCTAAATCATTTCTCTCATTGTAGAAAAACACATGTAAATATCAGGATTTCAATAAACTTTTGAAGAATTACATCCTATTAACTACATATTCTTTCTTCCTACAGTCATTACCTTGCATATCAGAAGGCATGAGGTTGCTGACAGCAACTCACAGTCAGGGATAAGCCAGATGGAAAAAAATTTGCATTCGCTAAAAGTCAGAGTCCGCTTGGGATACTTTTTTCCTTTGTGCATCATAAATACTTCATTAGCATTTAACAGAAGTCCTATGTTCTCTATATGACAAAAAATACTTCCCTTCTACTAAATCACTAGACAAAAGTCAACTTGGCCTTTGCTTCAACACAATATGTTCATTGCTAAAGGAGAGACATACAATTCACAATGAGCACCTCAAAGAGAATACTACCTTGAGGAAAACCATAAAAGTTTCATGATTAAACACATGAAAGGGGGCTGGGGATTTAGCTCAGTGGTACAGCACCTGCCTGGCAAGTGCAAGATCGTGAGTTCGGTTCCCGGTACTGGAAACCACCCCCTCAAAGAAAAGCATGTGAAAGTTCACTATGCCTTTTAAAAATACCATTTCAATTTTCTAAGCATACAATCTGTATTTCATAATAAAGTAAACAAATGCCTTTATTATATTTGGAGTCATTACTGAATTAAATTCTCTTGGTTTGTCAAAGTTCATTTGATCTGAAATTAATTAATGGTGGGCACATGCTAGCTAAAAATTCATATTATTTTAATTTTTAGAAGCATCCTATTAAGCCTTGAATGCCTAAAAGATTTTTTTCTGTCACCATATTAGAGGTAAAATAACTATGCAGTAATTTGTTGAAATATCTGCATATACTCAGCCCCCTAACTGCAGAGAAGCATAACAGAAAGTAATTACAGGCCTGTATTTACATTTGATTGTATTAAGACAAAGCATATTGTGGAAGCAAGGGGTAACTACATAGTTTACATTTAGCAAGTTATCACTCAGGCAGCTGCCATTCTGGTTAAGATAACGGAGCTGCACAACAAATGTAAATTACTTTTCACCTCATTGATCAAAGCCAAAAAGGAGACCTTAAAAGTAAGCATAACTACCAGGATTCGGAACTCTTCATACGATTAAAGTCATCAGTTGTCATGAATGCTGAAAAGACGTGAAGAATTAAAAACAGGCAACTCAGTCTTCATCCCTAGATCCATAACTTTTGGAAAGTTAGTTCCATTAGCCAAATTATTAAGTCCTTCCCAGGGAGACAGCAGAGCTGGTTTCTCACTCAAAGGTCTACAGTCTAATGAGTGGGGAAGGGTATGAGTTAAAGGATAAGAAAGGCAAAGAAGAAAGAGAGTAAATATGACAATACAAGTGACTACATAACAAGATAACGTGCACACTGGTGAGAAAATTCAAAGGAAGAAAAGATCTTGCCCAATACCACCAAATATGAGTATGTAGGTCAAACCTTTAAAATAAATTTTAACAAAGTACAAGCCACGTAATATCAAAGGCTTGGCTTTTGTAGGCAAACCATAAGTAAGTCTTGAATTTCAAGCAATTATCAATGAGGTATCCATAATAAGTCTCTCCACTACTGAATTAACACTCCTGAATTAAGCTATCTGATTTTTTCCATTTGAAGAAGAGGTCTGTGACAAGTGTTATCATACCAAACTGCCAAGTTTTATTGGTTCTATAAAGTTAAACCTAGGAACTAAAATAGGGAACTTCCTCAACAATTACTGTATCCCTAGGTTTATCTCATCTGCATTTTCAAAGAGATATAATTAGAGCTAGTTTTCATGAAGATGGGATTAAATCCTGCAATTAAATTTCTAGTTAATGACCATTATTTTTTGAAATCATCTTGTATCATCCTCTTTTTACTGAAATGGATTCTGGATTTTTACATTCAGTTTCTAATGTGAATTTAAGGGGTTCTTTTGAACATATCATTTAGCCAAAACAATTCCCTAATATTCTCAAAAATTTAAAGTTGCCCATGCAATTCAAGCTACATGTAACAGAAAGTCAACAAAACAGAGGTGTACAGGCAAACACAGTTGATTTCTTTCTCATGTAAAGTGCTAGAGGGATCACTTCCAGGCCTAAAAAGCAGCACTGAAGACAGAATCCTCAGGAACCCAGCTCACCACTCCGGGTGCCACCCTGAGCTTCATGCTCTGGAGGACTATTCAGCCAGCACAGCCAACTTCCAGAAAGCTGGAAGGACAAAGAAATAAGAAGGAGATAGTGAATACCTATCAGTTATCTTCCAGAAAGTTCTCTGAAGATTTCCATGTGACACATTAACAACTTATCTTATTTTAAACAGATCTAATAACAGGCACATTTATCTAAACAGATTCAAGGAGCTCTAGCTAGGAGCTAGAAAGGAAGACTGAAAAATGTATTTCTTGTAACACAATATCACAACTGACAATTCTGAACAATGATTAAGCAGCAATAAAGAATACACTTATGAATTTCATACTGACTCAATGACTATGTTAAATGAGGAATTACATAAAGTGCCTGTCATATTTTGGCAGTTATAAGACTAATGACATAGGCATGCTACATAAACACATGTTTATTTTTCTCAGCTCTGGAGAGTGAAATCTGACAGTAGCGTGAGTACATGGTCAAGTTCTGAGTGAAGGCCACTGCCTTGGCTTACCTCTGACTCTCTTCCCATTTATGCACACCTGACAGAGAAAAAAGAGACTAAGAAACAAGCAATTGACACCAATCCCATTCATGAGGGCTCCATACCCATAACCCAACTATCTCCCAAAGGTCCCATCTCAAAATATCATCACATTGTGGACTGAGATTTCAACATCTGAACTGGTAGTAGGGGAGCGCAAATATTTAGTCCACAGTAATGCCTATATATTGCTAATGTGGTAATTCAAGGAGAATGCGCAGGATATGCACAGGAAAAATGTAGAAGTCCGTACACCAAAATGTTACCAATGTCTATTTTGGAGTGGTAGAATTAAGAGAAACTTTTCCCAATTTTTCATTTATAGTACAATTTAATTATAATTAAATTAAATTATATTACAACTTAATGAATATAATTACGATTTCTATTTTAACCCACTTAATTTTTTATATTTTATAATTCTCTATGACCCTTCCTCTTATGTGTAACATCTCATTTAGTTATAAAGCTTTCAGTTATATTAAATACTAACAACATTATCATTTTAAGTGACAAATTTATAAATAAATAGAACTTTTATTTCTTTACATTACTAGCCTATTTAGTCATGATTTTTAAAATTCTGTTATTTAAAATTTCTCCCATTTAATATTTTAAATCTCTATGAGCAAACATTTTAAATTTTGAATAAGACATGTATTTTGTTTTAATGACATAGAGCATGATTAAGATCGAATATGATAAATGTACTTTGTAAACACACTAAATAATAAATATGCTAAGATATTGTACCAGCCATTAAAAAGTTGTGCAAACCACTCATGAGCTATTATTTCTTTTTAATCATTTACCATGTATTATTTAGTATTTATAGCATTGTCTGTGAAGTTGTCTGTAAGCAAAGTACTTCCCGTAAAGGATGGGAACTATTTAAATAATTTAGACCAGATGACTACTTCCTTAGTTTCTAGACTGGACAGCATGTCTGTGAGCTATGTGAAAATTCAAATGTATCCTCCAAAAAGCAATGAAAAAGTGAAACAGCCACCAAATAAAATGTACTGAATGTCCTTGACATTCAACATTAACTGGTACTTAACTTTTCTAATAATTGTTTTGTGCTTTTTGATGTGAGAGTAATAGCACACAAAGGTCAATTTTTGTATAAATTAGAAGAATCATTTTAAAAAATCAAACAATATCCTACAATTTACCCAGGTTGAAACTCCTCTTCAGAAAACAGGCCAGGTAAATTTCTACAAACTTCGCATATGAGAAACTTCGTGCCTATATTCAGACACGTAAGGACAAGTTGCAATATTACTAACCACCTAAAGAAATCGACCCCAGATCCTTAAATTGAGAGAGACGTGTTTGACAAGGAACAAAGAGTATGCAGGGAAAGAGAATCTGTGTTTTTAAAAGGATATGGGCTTGCACAATATAGCTTTTGTTACAGATTCAATTGTAAATATCTCTAATAAATGTGGCTTTAA